ACAATTTATATTAAGAACTTGCCTTTGAACCATTTTTTTAAATTGTTATTTTTTTAACTACACTTTTAAACCCTGGACCACTGCCAAAAATATAATTTCTGGTCCGAGGAACCAGTGAACATCACATGTCCAACTGCTTCAGCGCAAGGCTGAAAACAAATGCTGGAATATCTGTGGAATCTGGGAATGGAAGTTTTCCCAACAATGTAGAGCACTTATTTCTATCCCTGATTTTTCATAAGATATCAAATATTAAAATTGGGTGATTCCAATCATAATGCTCCCCTCCTTACCCTCTTCCTCCATACTTATGTGGTGGCCTCATTTTAGTGAGAACTAAAAGTAAAAAAAGCTAGAACTGGTTCAACACTGTTTGAGCATTTAAATTCTGAACTGCTATTTAATTCAACCTGCTGTTTAATTCCTGTTCCCTTGTTATTTGTGAACATTCAAGCAAACAGAATTGCTTGCAAACGTTTTTGGAGCTAGACTGAATGTATGAATACCTATTTTTCATGTGAACAAGAGTATTTATTCCTTGCTATTACCCTGTTTTAAAATATTAATTATCTCATCAAGAAGCAGAAATAATTTCATTTCACCAAACAAACCATGAACAATGAACAGAGTGCAATCTAACTGAAGTCTACTACCAACCCAGAGAGGTTGAAAGCTGTTCGTCCAAGCTATTCAACATACATATTAACAGAAATCAGAACAGAAGGGGGCTACATTCTCAACAACCATTATTTGTAAAGAATAATTTGACCAGCTCTAATCGTACACTATATGTACATTATACATCAAATGGTATAATTTATTTGTAGTATTATAAGGCCAATCAGGATCAGGGCCCTGTTGTGGTAAACATTATGAACATAAACATATGGTCCCTGCCACAAGTATATTACAAAGCATTCATCTCGCTTAATCCTAAAACGAGAATACTGGTGCTATAAAACAATGCTGGAATTTAAATCCGTATGGAGAGAGAGGCACATCAGAAAAATCTCTTTTCCTAAATTATGTGCCATATTTATTTCCTGTCCCCTACTATACATTGTGTTTTTGAATATCAACTAGGTAAAACCAACTGTTCAGCAAAACTGAAGTCAGTGTGCCGCTCCAACACAGCCTTCTGTCCCAGGTCTCTGACATCATAAGAAGTAGGTTTCCACATTCAAGAGGTATTAAAACTCAGTTAATGTAAATGAATGAAAACTGAAAAAAAAATATGTTTCAGTGCTCTCTTCATTTAATTAAGTTGTTTTAAGGCCTCCTAAATTTGAAAAATAGATAAATTAAGCCAAGTCTTGCATCTTGGCTCTCCTCCCCCCACATAAAGGAAATCTCTCAGTGTTAGCTTTTTGGAAATTACCAGTCTCTTACTAACTCACACAAGTTCTAAATTAGACTGCCAGTACACCAACAGTCCTTGTTTAAAATATTGATAACATAGACATATAATTTTAACAGGTGACAATTGCTTTGATACTAGTTTTGGTCCATTTTAGTTGTATTTACACTTCTGCATATAACAAACTCCTGCAGGCACTAAAACCAGTACCCTATACTATTTTCAGTGTATCTACGTATATTTTATACATAGATATAAAAAACTGCACAAGACAAAGGTTTAAGTTGCTGCAGGAACTTACAATATACGGAAGTTTAAAATAAAAAAAGCAAGATTAGGATCACAGAAATTTTACCCTATCCATGATTTTTTTTTTTATTTTTTTTTATAATGGAAACATTTTTACAAGAACTATTCAATTTTAACTATACAATTGTACTTCAAGACACAGCAAAAAAATTAAAGTACATCAAAAGAAGGAAGCCTGCCAAATAATCAGTGGGGCCTTAGGAAGATCCAGATGCTAAAGGAGCACTCCAGGAAGACAAGGCTACTGCAGAAAAGCTAAATGAATTCTTTGCATCTATCTTCCCTGCAAAGGATGTGAGGGAGATACCTTAGCCATTATTTTTAGGTGAAAAATCTGAGAAACTGTCCCAGATTGAGAGGTCAATAGACGAAAAAATAATAAATTAAATAATAAGTTGTCACCAGAACCAGATGATATTAATCCAAGAGTTTTGAAGGAACTCAAATATGAAATTGCAGAACTGCTTCCTGTGGTATGTAACATAGCACTTAAATCAGTCTTGGTACCAAATGACTGGCAGATAACTAATGTGATGCCAATTTTGAAAATAGGCTTCAGAGGCACTCCTGGCAATTACAGGCCAATAGGCCTAACTTCAGTACCAGGCAAATTGATTGAAACTGTAACAAAGAACAGAATTGTCATACAAATAGATGAAAACAATATGTTGTGGCGAATCAACAGATTTTGTAAAGAGAAACCATGCTTCACTAATCTATTAGAATTCTTTGAGGGTGTCAACAAACATAGAGAAGGATTATCTAGTGGATATAGTGTACTTAGACTTTCAGAAAGCTTTTGACTAGGTCCCTCCCGAAAGGCTCTTAAGAAACTAAGCAGGCATGGTATAAGAGGGAAGGGCCTCTCTTGGATCAGAACTGGTTTCAAGACAGAAAACAAAAGGTAGGAATAAATGGTCAGTTTTCGGAATGGCAAGAGGAAAATAGTGGAGTCCCCCAAGAATCTGTACTGGGACCAGTGCCATTCAACAGATTCATAAATGATTTGGAAAGCAGACTGTGAAGAGATACAAAGGCATGTCACAAAACTGAGTGACTGGGAAAGAAAGTGGCAGATGAAATTCAATGTTGATAAATGCAAAGTACTGCACATTGGAAAAAACAATCCCAACCATACATTTAAAATGATGGGGTCTAAATTAGCTGTTGCCACTCAAGAAAGAGATCTTGGGAGTCATTGCAGATAGTTCTCTGAAAAAAGCTAACTATGTTAGGAAACATTTGGAAAGGGATAGATAGTAAATCAGAAAATATAATGCCACTATATAAATCCATGGCACATCCACATCTGGAATATTATACGCAGTTCTGGTCACCCTATCTCAAAAAAAAAAAAAAAAAAAAGATATATTAGAACTGAAAAAAGTACAGAGAAGGGCAACAAAAACTATTAGGGGTGTGGCACCACTTCCATACGAGGAGAGATTAAAAAGATTGGGATGGTTCAGCTTAGAAAAGAGACGACTGAGGAGAGATATGATAGAGGTCTATAAAATCATGAATGGTGCGGAGAAAGTGAATAAGGCAGTGTTATTTACTCCTTCACATAACACAAGAATCAGGGGTCATCCAATGAAAGTTAACTGAAGGACAAAACTATTGCTGGGTTCAAAAAATAATTAGATAAGTTCATGGAGGATAGGTCCATCAGTGCTCTAGGTGTCCTTAAATCTCTCACTGTTAGAAGCTGGATCACTTGATAAATTTCCCTGTTCAGTTCCCCACCTCTGAAGCATCTGGCACCAGCCACTGTTGAAAGACTGGTTACTGAGCTAGATGGGCCATTGGTCTGACCCAGTATGGCTATTTTTATTTTCTCGTGTATATGTATTAGCGTCAGGGTGTTGATGGCACAGAGCTTTTGATCCCATGCCTAATAATTCATTTCAGATGCATTATTAAACTGTAGAGCACTGCTTTAATGACTTAATGATTAATTTCAAGAAGAAATCTGCACAGCAGCAAACTGTAATTCTTGCCAGCCTTCAAGAACATAGCTGCACTGTGTAATATCAAACAGAAGATTTAGGAACAGCTGAATGAGAATCTAACCTAGTGGTGGGCAACCTGCAGGCCGCATGCGGCCCATCAGGGTAATATGACTGCAGGACGTGAGACATTTTGCTGACGTTGACTGTCTGCAGGCACGGCCCCCCGCAACTCCCAGTGGCCATGGTTCGCTGTTCCTGGCCAATGGGAGCTGCGGGAAAGCAGCGGGCCTGTGAACAGTCGTCAGCAAAATGTCACACCACCCGCAGTCAGGTTACCCTGGCAAGCCGCAGGTTGCCCACCACTGATCTAACCCGTTCAGCCAAAGAACTGCCTCAGAGTGCTTCCTATAATACTTGGAAAACATTCTACAGCATACTAAAATAGAGTGAGCACAGGATGTCCAACTCAACAGCCACTAGTATTGGTGGTCTAAGATGAGATTTTAAGGGAAACTCAACTTGAATGTTTATTCAATTTACTAATTTCAAAAAAATTCCAATTTCTGATATTCTTTAATCAGCATGTAGAGAGTATTTTGATTAATTCCTGTATTAAAATGTTTTATGTTGCCTTTTTTATTCCCTGTTCCTCTGCTGATATTAAGGGTCTTTCCAGCATGGAACAGCAGTTGGACCACAAAACATGCTTAGGCTCACCCTCCTCCTCTGCATCATCCTCTTTTCACTGAGGGTTTAGGGAAGAACATACCTGCAAGCTCTGCTCAAAGTAGAGCATAGAATATGGTGCTAAATGCACAGAACAGTAAGAGCAATGAAGTTGACTGGATACAAATGCTGTCATATGCAAAAGCAGTTTTCATGTTGATGTCCCTTTAAAAAGCCCAGCTGAGAATGGAAAATCAGGCACACTCAGGAAAGCACTTAAGTCCGTGCTTAACCTTAAAGATGTGTTTAAGAGCTTTCCTGAAATGAGGTGCAGTTAAGCATGTGATATTTTTACTATTCTGAATTGGGGCCTAGGTGAGTAAACTAAAAGGGCATATACAGAATTTACAGAGTGGAAGAAAAACGATTGCTGAATCTAATAATGAAATTAGGACGGGGGAAGAACTATCCTCCAATTTCTATGTGAAAGCATTTTTGTGTGCTTTTTAACTACAAGTGGCAAAAGTTATACAACATGCACAATTTACGTGTTAGGGACACCTATTTTTTCCATTTTTTTCCTTTGTTGTGTAAGTACCTTATGCAGTTTTTCAAATTTTCATTAATTCTTTATCTGTAGAATCTATGACAAATGTATATTCAAAAGGACATACAGCAAAATTTAGACAGAAATTTCTGTATGATTGTTTGCTTACCTCTGAGGGGGAATATAAGGAGCAGATACTGTTGGCATAGCTGTACAGGGTTCAACCACTGATTTCTTGGCCTTTTTTGCCTTTTTTCTGACTTTTGATGTAGACCTTGCAGTTCTGACTGAGCCCTCTTTTCTACACACACCATTTTTCACATCAACTTCTCCATAAATATTTAGAGGTCGCCGTATACAACCTGGTGGAGTATGTACATCACAATAGGCAGTCTTTTTTACAGAGAACGTTGTCCCACTGCCAGTTAATTCTTTCACAGGTTCCATTTTCATATACAAACCAGCCTTTTGAGCACATGTCACATGGAATGCTGTGTAACAGTTTGCTTTGTGGCACTGGATGCAGGCACCAACGCCTTTCTGTTTACAGAGGTAGCATGTTAACTTCCATCTGGCTGGGGGAATGTTTCTGACACCATCAATTGGCTCAATAAAAACTGTATTGGCAAATCCAACTTCTGGAATCCACAAAGCACACACAACATGTCCCCAGCGATCATCATCAGTCTTTTTAAAGGCACCTCCCTTGTTTGGGCACAGCACACAGTCTACAGGCCGGGAATGGGACTGCAGACAGCGTCTGCAGAGCCATTGACCCTCAGGTATATATGGCACCCCATAGCACTCCTGATGCACTGCTAAATTACACATATCACAAAATAGGATTACATTGCTGTTCTGACATTCACCATCCATGCATATACAACATACTGCATCTTCATCAATTAAAGACTGATGGTCACCCTGTTTTTGGTTCTCACAATAAGACTCTTTTTCAAACCTGTCCATAAGGAATTCAAACATATTTTGTGACACAACTGATACGCCATCACTTTTTCGCTTTTCATTTATTATTTCTAACCATGCATAATCTTCTTCATCCATGTCATACTCCACTTCGTTGTCAAGTTCTTCTGCTGACTTTTCAATGAATTTATAATAAATTGGAGGTCTCCGAGGGGCAGAAGGTGGACTGTACTCAACAATGCGTACTTTTGGTTCTGGAAGAGGACTTGTTGTAGCAGGTGTACCATGCGCACTTGGAAGAGCTTCATTTTTCTTTTTCACTTTGTTATTTTTATGCCGCTTGGCTCTCAGACAAACTGGTGGTCTCTCGCTATTTTCTTTATTGCTGTTGCATTCACTCATTTCTTGCGCTGTGAGATCATCTTCTAATATAATCTCTAATGGATCAAAAATACTGATCCTGTGCAGGCGACCTTCAATTTCTATTTCAACCATCCTTTGAGCTTGAGCATATGTCAAAGTTTCTCGTGTAGGGGAGTGTTTAATACTGCACGGGGAAGAAGAATGCCTTGCTGCAGATACTCGATGACATCTTCCTTTTCTCCTCATTTGGTAATGATTACCTAAAATTATAATCAGAGTTGTTATGTTGCATTTTAAATATTTCTCTTTCTTGCTAAAGTAAAAAAATTAATACAGTAAAAAACAGGAGCTAGTTTAAGCTCTGTACTATCCATGGACATGAAAGGCTTAAATTTATGTGATGTTTGTACTTGAAACAAACTTAAATCTGACCACCCCAACTTCCAAAGGCACACCAGTGAGTAACACATTTAGCATTACTCCAAATACAAATGTGTTGATAGATTGCTGGAATGAATTACACTCATTTCCTACATTTAAGAAGTCCTTCAGAGACAAATTAGTAAGAGCATAATGAATTTACAGAACCTATAGTTCTGTAAATCTACAGGAAGCCAATCGAACTATAGAAATTCAACACGGGCACAGAGAAATTGTTGCCAAGGCCCACCCACCAAAGGATTAAACTTGTGCCATAAGGTAACAGAAGTAGTCATTGTAATAGAAAATTACCATTGTTTTGTAGAACTAAAGGCTTGTATGCAAAGTCCTGGTTTCATTGTTAAAAGCTTATTCAGCAGCAGTCTGAATAAGAAATAGTCCAGAAATATTTTTGCACAGAAGGCAATTATGATCAGAAAAGTGACTATGTAAAAATGATATTTGCTTTAACAAATCTGACCTCTGTATTCAGAATTATATCTGCTTACAGTCAGTATGTTTACACTTACCTAAAGTGAACCTCAAAGATGCATGATTTATGTTATTTCCTCATGTGTCACTATTTATATTGTAAACTTTTTGATATAGAGAATTGTCTTCTGCGTATTTTCATAGGTGTACTATCAGATAATCAACATAATCTTTGTCACTAAAATTATTATTACCACCATACGTTTTATTCAGCTCTGCATAGCCCATATTGCTGTGGAAGAGCATATTCCATTACAGCCCACATATCACCGAGACAACTATGAATTAAGGTTTAATACCAATACTTTTACCACTAGTGGAGAGGCAAATTGAGAACTACTTTAATTTTAGCTCCCAGACTGGGTTTTTAGGGCTGCCAATTAGAAAAAAAAATCACTTTTAAAATGAACATCTGACTTGAAAGAAACTTCCAATGCTATATTCAGAGATTGATTCTCAAGCGTAAATCAGCATTTTCTGACTTGTAGTAGGGTCGCTAAAATTCCATTAACTTCAATTATACACAGCCAGCTTGGGCTGGATTTGACCCAGTGACCTAGGAAAAGAAATACTCATTTTTAGCTTCAAGGTCTACTGGACTAAAGTATTGCATCTGTATCATAAAGGACGCTGTGATAAGAAGATTGTAAAAATGGAAAACTAAGCATCCAGACCAGACTGGTCCATACACACTTGGTAATCTGAAAGATTACTAAAAATAAAACTGTTGGCTTCCATGTTTGTATCTTTTTCAGCATGTCTGATCAGCTGACCAAATGAAAGACAATTTTCTCCATCAGCCCTGCAAACTCAACTTGGCATCTGAAAGTCATGGTAATTACTTTATATTAATTTATCTTTAGAGCACTTTGAAAACCAGCTGTTACACAGTAAGCAAGTCTCAACCCTACCAACAGCAAAGCTCTTGCTCCCCCTATAACTGATTTCTTAAGCTCCCATGGCCATCAATCTGACCTGTTAGCTAGAGCCATACCAGCACCGATCAAGTCAGGAATTACACACGATGGAGTGAGTACAGTTCGCAGAATATATATTTTAGTCAGTGATAGTATGCCTACCAAAACATTGGGGCAAACATACATCAATTCTCTGCCCACCAGCTCCACGATACTTCTATTTTCTTCATAAAAAGTTGAAACAAAATTTACTACAACCTATAAATTCAAAGGCAAACCTAAAATAAAATGCTTTGCTCATCTTCAGAAGTTATATGCAAAAAATCACATACCTGATGATTTGCAGCACAAAGGCAAGATGGAATGTATCAAGCGGGCAATACCAGATCACATCCCTTCCAATATCTTCACCCTCCCCCCTCAAAAAAGACCTCATTTAACAACAACAACCAAAAAAGGATCAGCCTGAATTAGTTTTCTTGGTTTTGTAGATGTAATATTGTGTTATTTAACAAACTTTGTGTTAAAGTCAAACACAATTGTATTAAAAATATGTTTTTAATACAAATCCAAAAAAGCAACATCCAGTGTACAATCACTACATCTGATTTCCACTGTGCTTAGGTAATGAACAAAAAAAAACTACACAGATTTTTCTCCTTTGGTGAATTTCCATGAAACTTTTAATAGAGGTGCTTGTGAGGATAAATATATTAAAAGATTGTGAAGTGCTCTGAGATCTACTGATGAAAAGCACTATATTAAAGTTAGGTATTGGTATTATTAGTTTGTAAAGCAACATTTCATTGAACATGTCAGTTTCCAACCATAGAACAGATGAATCCACTAATATTTGCTATAGTAGGTTTAATAACTAGATATAAAGAGAGTGACAATTTAATTTAACTCTAAATTTAGTTCCCATTATCTCACAAATTCTGGGGCAGGGAATATAAAATGGCCCCTCTACATTTTAATAAAAATGTATATTTCTTTATTCCCTTATAATGCTGTAAAGCCATTTATCAATTTGTTAGTGCAAGAGAACCTGACATTGAAATTGATCAATTTAGTTTCATTTTGTAAGATAATGATAAATAGCACAAAGGTAAAGAGTAAATAGATTTTTTTTTTCATTCAATTTTAATAATTCAACATATGACTATTTTGAGCATTTTTATATAAACCTATGTTTATATACACCATAACCAGAGCTTCAAACACCAATGACATTGATCATGGAGGTAACTGCCGATTACCTCAGACTAGAAAAGAGGGATGGGCAGTGGCTATTATGACTGACTATACAACATGAGTTCTCAAACTTTTTCTTTCTGAGCCCCCTACCCCTCCATGTGCTATAAAAATTTCCCAGCCCACCTGTGCCACAACTGTTTTTCTCCATATTCAGTAGATTAAAAGCCAGGGCTGGCATTAGGGGGTAGGCAAGCAGGGCAATGGCTCAGGGCCCGACTCCACAGGCAGCTCTGCAAAGCTAAGTTGCTCAGGCTTTAGCTTCAACCCCGTGCCCCAGCAAGTTGGCCCTGCTCTCTGGTTTATTTTGGTGGACCCCCTGAAACCTGCTCATGGCTCCCTAGAGGGCCCCGGATCCTTGGTTGAGAACCACTGCTCTAGAAGACACTGCCATTTGTACATATCCTAGTCATTGTTCTATATATTCTAATATTGGAAAAAACACAAATAATGTGTATTCATTTTCAGGCCAAAAAGCAATTTCTCAAGCATAGTGGCAACCAATTGATGGAACAAGAGTATCTCAGAATGCAAGCAGCTTGCTTCCCAGACTTGGTGCAAATGTCATAAATGCTAAATAAGTGAAAAGGTCTACCACAAAGTGATGAAAAAAGGCACCTCCCAATAATGAGATTAGGACAATTATCATTTACGTGCTTAAGCACCTTCGCTTACATTTAGATTAGTTTGGGCCCAATCTGAAAATGGATGGCAATTTAACATTTTACACTTAAAGGGAAAACAGTGAAAATGTGTGGGAGGGAGCACACTACATCTGGAAGTCGTATTGAAATTATCGTTCCTAATTTTGCATATGCCTAGTTTGGGTGAGTAAAAAACGCCTTGGATCCAAAAGCATAATAATAAGGGTTGCTAACCTTAGCATAAAACAGGAAGAATTCCTAATGTGTTACACAACTCAGGTTTGGGGCACTTTCCTCCTTTTAAAGCAGGACAAGGCCTGCAGAAGATGAAGAAATGCTCTCCACAGAGCTATTGTTTTCTTAGAATGAATTTGCTGAGACAGTTTCCACTGTCATGAAAAAACGTGAAGATGTGGTTGTTTATGTGCAATGAAAGTTATGGGGCTGAAGCACTGCTTGCTAAGAGAATAGGTGAGAGGAGAGCAAATTAAACCTATAGTGCAGCACTTGTCCGGGCCTTTGTAAAGGCTGCCAATTGTTTTTGCAAACCTGCAGTGAACCCTGCACTCACTTCTCTTCTTCTCCCTCATTTCTTTGTATTTGGTCCTTGGCTCTCTTGCTTTGTGGAAGAGAGATCCCTCCATTCTATTCGTGGTACTCAACAAGCATCCATCTGTGGACCACCGCAAAGAGATGAACACAAAGAAACTACCAAGGATGCTACAAACAGTCCATTAGTACCAGACCATAAGAGAGAGCAAGTAGAAACATTTCCAGGATGCACGGGGAGAGAGGATACCAGCAGCCTCAGCCTTCAGAGTAAGATCACCCTCTCAAGTCTAGCCATATTGATGCACAGAAAATACAGTGACTGAATCCTGAAGAATTAATTTGATCCCATCAATGAAAATACCCACTTTAGGCCTGGGCTCTAGCCCACCTGATATCACCAAGCCTAACATTTCCTGGGTCTCCCGGAACCCAGCAAGGAGGTAACCAGCATCTCTCACCACTCTAGCTCCTTCTCCACCCTGCCGCCCTCCCAAAGGGCACAAAAAAATAGGAGTACTTGTGACACCTTACAGACTAACAAATTTATTAGAGCATAAGCTTTCGTGGGATGCATATGCATCCGAAGAAGTGGGCTGTAGCCCACGAAAGCTTATGCTCTAATAAATGTGTTAGTCTCTAAGGTGCCACAGGTACTCCTGTTCTTTTTGCAGATACAGACTAACACGGCTACTACTCTAAAACCAAAGGGCACATTCACCTAGGCTCTTCCTCCCCAAGCTCCCTCCCCTCTCCCCCCCATGCACACGCAATGGATGGTTCCTGCCCACGCCCCTTATCCCTCCCACACCCTGTTCTAGCACGAACACTTCCTGCCCACGCCCATCACCGCTCTAGCCACACACACCCGCGCGCAAATGGTTCCTACCCGCGCCCGTCACCCCCGCACGAATGGTTCCTGCCCAGGCCCGTCAGCTCCAGCCCTTCCCGAGCCTCGCCCCACCCCCCACCCCGACAATACTCGGCCCACAAACATGGCGTCCAACAAAACAGCTTGCGCTGCGCCCTCCCCCGCCCGCTGTGCCGGGCCGCCTCCCCCTGCTCCCGCCACCAAGCCCCGCTCGCTAGGCCCGGCTCTGCCCGCGAGCCGCCGGCCCCGCTCCCCCGCACTCACGCTGTGGGAGCCGCCGGAGCGCGGCTGACAGACCCTCCTGCTCCTCGTCTCCTGGTCGGCGCTGCGGCCGGTCTAATGGCGGGGGCGGCTCCACCGATGCCGCTCCCAGCAGCCCCGGGCGGCCAAGCGGGCGCTGGCGGTGCCGTGCTGCCTTCGGGCTGCCGGCGGCGGGTGTGGGGCTCCTGCTCGGGCCGCGCGCGGCGCATTCGGGAGGCGCAGAGCTGGTCGCAGTCCGGCTGCGGGCTCGGCGCTCCGTCCTAGGGCTGAGAACCTCCCCTCCCCCCTCAGCACAAACAATGCGGCTTCACCACAGCGCTGCGCCGGCGGGGGGAGCGGGGGACGGGACGTGAGAGCGCCAGTCCCAGGCACCGCCCCGCCGCCGTGGGGGAGGGGCCCTCCCAGTCCTGTGTTGCAAGGGGGAGGGGGCCTGCCCCATGGTGCAGAGCAGCGCCGCGCCGCCGGGAAGCGGCTCTCCCTGACACGGGCAGGCACGCGGCGGTGCCAACCTCAGAGCCAAAGTCATGCGTCGGCCCCCCAAAAGCACGATTGGCCTAAAATAGAATGTGGGGGGTCACCCTTTTCCACTCCCTTCTGTGCCTGTACGTGTGAGAATTTTTCAGATAGAAGTCAACCTTTAATCCACACAAAATGCACACCTCTTCCTGGCTGCTCAGGGGGAGCCTCAACTTCCCCTCTGGCTCCTAGATATAAGGCCTTACTATCCATTTCCTATTACTGCCTTGACCCCACAGCTAGGCTTCTCTACCTCCCGCTGGGCTAGGACTCCTGTACCTGGGTTCCCGCAGCAGCAGTTTGTGACTCCCCTCCACTGCTGCCTCCTATCCCAGTATCCTCTCTCAGCTCTAGAGCCATATACATGTCAAAGCAGGTCTGTGGCCATAGTCCCAAGGCTTTTGCACAAAGCTCTGCCCACATGCCCAGCCCTGAAAGTTGTGGGATGGGAGAGTTACTGAGAAGCGTCTCTTGTGTCATCAGAACAGCTTCTCGTGCAGGCACCAAAATCCTGTGACTCATGGATCAGTATCAGTTCATGGGAGTTGGCAACACTTCTTCCCCTGGCTGCTTGGAGTTGACTCCCCCATCACTGACCCCCAGGCTGGGGGAGCTGCTATTCTGTCCCCTCCATCTCCCACTCCAATCACTGTCTTCTGTTTCCCCCCCCCCAGCTCCTCTCCTACCCCTCACAACATCCTGCAGCCCTGATAATCCTAAATTGCCTCCTGCTCCCCCTTATTCTCCCCATCTACTTTTCAGTGTCTCTGCTGCTCCTCAGAGTCCGTGTGTCCTGTCTAGCCATTGGGATCATAGAGTGGCAGCTTTTTTGCCTGTAGGCCTGGCTTCAGTCTTATTGAAAACAATGTGAGTTGGCAACCAACTTTATTAAGGGCAGCCTCACTTCCACATGCAGATGGACTGGAGGGACTGGTGGCAATTTTGAATAAGGGAAAATTTGTGGAGTTGGCACCTTTCATCATGTTTTCATGAGACAGATAAAATAACATCCCAGAATTACTAGAGTTGTGATAAAAAAACACGAAAGTTGGCAACACTGGCACAGCCACCATGCAAGAGAGAGACAGCTTTGCCTGAGTGAGGTATCACTGCACAGAACTGTAGCCCTGGCCCTCTCTAGCTCTGAGGTGAGAAGGGGAAGCACAGGCTTTTCTCAACCACAAAGTTATTCCTTGGGAAACAGAGGCATTAAGTACCTGAGTATCACATTAAAAAGTATGTGTGTAGAAAAGAGAAATTATGCAGAAGAGCTAGTAAAATATACATTTAGGCCTAGTCTATAACTGCTGGTTGGTCTCATAGCAACACTGCAACACATCTCACATCCACACATAAAAGTGCTCCAATGGTTCACAATGTTACAACCACTCACTGAATTAGGTTATCTTTGTTCAAAGAAAGTCTGTTTAGCTAGGTTCTTATATGGCACCTATCGCCGTCATATCTGAATGCCTCACAAACAATGGATTTGTCCCCACATAAGAACATAAGAATGGCCTTACTGGGTCAGACCAAAGGTCCATCTAGCCCAGTATCCTGTCCTCCAACAGTGGCCAGTGCCAGATGCCCCAGAGGGAATGAACAGAACACGTAATCATCAAGTGATCCATCCCCTGTCGCTCATTCCCAGCTTCTGGCAAACAGAGGCTAGGGACATCATTCCTGCCCATCCTGCCTACTAGCCATTGATGGACCTATCCTCCATGAATTTATCTAGTTCTTTTTTGAACCCTGTTATGTTCTTGGCCTTCACAACATCCTCCAGCAAGGAGTTCCACAGGTTCACTGTGCGTTGTGTGAAGAAATACTTCCTTTTATTTGTTTTAAGCCTGCTGCCTATTAATTTCATTTGGTGACCTCTAATTTTTGTGTTATGAGAAGTAGTAAACAACACTTCCTTATCTACTTTCTCTACACCAGTCATGATTTTCTAGACCTCAATCATATCTCCCCTTATCCATCTCTTTTCCAAGCTGAAAAGTCCCAGTCTTATTAATCTCTCCTCATATGGAAGCTGTTCCACAGTAAAACTATCCATGTGAAATATGTGTTACTATACTTAATTTACGGACAGGGAACTGAGGCACAGACAGTTTGTAACTTGGAAATCTGTGGCAGTGCTAAAAACTGAATCCAGATCCCAAGTTCCAGGCAAGTGCCTTAGCCACAAGACGATCTGCCATGTTGTCTTCTACCATGCCAGTATCCACTGGTAACGTTCTAGAATGGACAGATACCACTGGCGAAATAATCCCAACATTATAAACAGTCCTTCTACTACTGTCCCACAGTGCACCAATCACTGCTGAGATGGCCTTTCTGATCTGATTTCTGCACTCCATTCTGTCAGGGTCAAGTTGCCTAGAAGCCCTTTATTTCCATAAAAAGTACTGCACGTGCTATAGAGTTCTTGTATGCACTATTTTCACAATGAAAATCCATTTCCCATTTCTGTTACCCAAATATGATCGTATTGCCAACTAGTCCCAAAGGAATCATCTTACAAGCCTGCTGCCAGCTGGCTTGAGGTTGCCGTGGAGATGTTGGTATCCATCTGGAGAGAAGAAGAGATCCAGGAACAGCTGAACTCAAATGATACACATTACCTGACTAGGTATCCAAAAAACTGGCTGAAATGGGCATTGTTAGAAGTGCCAAGCAATATCAAGAGACAGTAAAGAGACTGAAGTTCCTATATCATGAGGCCTGGAATAATAAAAGGCCAATTTGGGGCAGACAACAAGCCATTTTACAAAGAACTAGGGCACATACTGGATGGGTTAAAACTGGCTCAATGGCAAATCTCAAAATGTAGTTGTTAATGGGGAAATATCAACGATCAGTTCTTGGTCCAACACTATTTGATGTTTTTATCAACAACCTATATGATAATATAAAATTTTTGCTGGTAAAGTTTGCAGATGACACAAAGGTTGGTGAAGTAGTAAATAATGATAACAGGTTATTGTTACAGAGTGATCTGAATCTCCTGATTAAATGGTCACAGTCCAACAAAATGTTAAAGTACATTTTAAAGTGCAAGATAATACATCTAGGAACCAAGAATGCATGTTATATCTACAGGATGGGAGATTCTGTCTTGCAAAGCCGTGACCCAGAGAAGAATTTAGGGGACATCATAAATAATCACTTCAACATGAACTCTCAGTGCAATGTTGTGGCAAAAAAAGGACTAATGCAATCCTTCGACGTATAAAAAGGGGGTTATCAAGTAGAAGTAGGGAAGCAATCTCACCTCTGTACTCAGCACTGGTAAGACTGTGATTACTGTGTCCAGTTCTGGTGTCCAGACTTCAAGAAGGATGTGGAAATACTGAAGAGACTTCAATGGGGGATCACAAAAATGATCCAGGGCCAGGAAAACAAGTCTTACAATGTGAGGCTTAAGGAGCTCAGTTTCTTCAGAAAGAAGGTTGAAAGGTGATTTGATCACTGTGTGTATGGACTTAGACATAGAAAAGAGATCTGATAGTGGGGGACTTCTCAAGCTTGCTGACAAAGGCATAACAAGATCCAATGGCTGGAAGTTAAAGTCAGCCACATTCAACCTTGAGATAAGACACAATTTCCTAACTGTGAGGGTAATTAAACATTGCAACAGTTTACAAGGAGAGGTGACAGATTCACAATTCTTTGGCGTCTTTAAAGTGAGATTAGATTTTTTTTTAAGATATGCTTTAATCCAGCTTCTGAGAGAAATTCTATGGCCTGTATATGCAGGGGGTCAGGCTACATAGTCGTTGTGTTCCTTTCTGCTGTTGGAATCTGTGCCTGAGTATCCCTGTTCATCCCTTTCCTTCATGGGCTGTGGGGAAATAGGATTGCTGCATTGCCCTTAACATACTCATAAAACTTGCAACTCTGCACTAGGATAATGACTATAATCACATCTAAGGCTTCAAAACTTCAGTTGGTCATCACCTGCAGGAATCAGGAAGGAATGTTTTCCCCAATGCACAATTGCCTAGATGTATTCTATTTTGTTTACCTTTCTCTGAAGTATCAGTTTGGCCACAAATGGAGAAAAGACACCAGACAGGGTGGGCCAGTGTCCTGAGGTGGTATGTCCGTGGCTGGTGTGTCTTGATCATATGCTCAGAGTCAAAATGACTGCCAGATTTGGGGTCAGGAAGGAATATTTCCCCATGTCAGATTAGAAGTAGGGTGACCATATGTCTCATTTTAGCCGGGACAGCCCCTTTTTTAAAAGTGGGCATTTGTCTTATTTGCTCTTGCTGACTTTATCAGTTGGCGAGAACAAACAGGACAAATGCCCACTTTTATCAAAAAAGGTGGGGTGAGGTGTGAAAAAATGTGTGGGGGATGAGTGGAGATGCCAGCCCCACATAGAGGAGGAGACAGGGCTGGGGAGGGGGAGACAGTGTTCCATCATGTGGGGGGCCAGCAGAGTTCCAGCAACTAGGCAACAGCCTCACGCCAGGGGATGAGGGGGAGGCTTGGGTGAGCGGCTGGGGGTGTCCCATTTTCACTTTGGGAAATATTGTCACCCTAATTAGAAGGGACCTTGTTTTAGTGTTTTTTTGCCTTTCTCAGCAGCATTGGATGTGGCTGGCCTGCTGGGATCATCTGGGCATAATCAGTTCCCTGCCCTTGCAGAAGCCCCAGGCATTGGTGGCACTGTGATCTGTCCTGTTATCTGCCTATGGCACACAGTTTAGTCTCATGAGGACTCAAATGCATTGGTCTATCTAACGTCTTTGGACTCATTATAGGGGTGTCTGGGTGAAATTCGTACATCAGACTAGATGATTTAATGGTCCCTTCTAGCCTT